TTTTTTTTTTTGTGTCTGTTACCACTTTTTCTCAGCTCTCACCGAACCGATTTCTTTCAATGATACGTCAAAAGATCACAAATTGTATCTAGTCGAAGACATTACCCTCAAAAATTGAAAAAATTTCCCTCGTTCCCCGTAAATGGGGGAAACCTCCAAAAAAATTACGAATTTAAAAATCGCTAATTTTGAAATTTTTTCAATTTTTTTTACTTAAAAGTGCCATAACTTTTTCAAAAATAAACATATCAATATAATTTTTTTTTTTATAGATTCATAATATCATTACCTTTCATTTGGTATATTTTTTTTGTAAATATAACCCATAACCTGCCCACAAGAAGGGATTTAAAATGACAACTTTTTCACAAAAAATTAACTTTTTCAACTTAACTTTTGAAAATGTTCCGGAAGGTCTGACACTTTTATATATATCTTAAATTGAAGCTAATGTAATATACTTTATTATAGTAAAAAAAAATTTCGGACTTTATTTTATCTTCACGGTGAAAATAGCTACCGAATGCTATTTTTGTGTGAAAATTTTCGATTTTGTATTTTACATTTTTAACTTTATTATGCTATAACTTTTTAAAAAATGTATGGATCATTACAATTTTTTTATGAAAAGTAGTTTTTATATAGAACTTTCATTCGACATACTGTTTTTTTAAATCGGACCATTTTCCTTAATACAGGGGGGATTCAAAACATAAAACTTAACTTTTGAAAATGTTCCGGAAGTCTGACACTTTTATATATATCTTAAATTAAAGCTAATGTAATATACTTTATTATAGTAAAAAAAAATTTCGGACTTTATTTTATCTTCACGGTGAAAATAGCTACCGAATGCTATTTTTGTGTGAAAATTTTCGATTTTGTATTTTACATTTTTAACTTTATTATGCTATAACTTTTTAAAAAATGTATGGATCATTACAATTTTTTTATGAAAAGTAGTTTTTATATAGAACTTTCATTCGACATACTGTTTTTTTAAATCGGACCATTTTCCTTAATACAGGGGGGATTCAAAACATAAAACTTAACTTTTGAAAATGTTCCGGAAGTCTGACACTTTTATATATATCTTAAATTAAAGCTAATGTAATTTACTTTATTATGCGAAAAAAAAATTTCGGACTTTATTTTATCTTCACGGTGAAAATGGCTACCGAATGCTATTATTGTGTGAAAATTCTCGATTTTATTTTTTACATTTTTAACTTTATAATGCTATGACATATTGAAAAGTGTATGGATCAACATTATTTTTTTATGAGAAATAATATTTTTTAATAATCCCTTTTTCATTCTACATACTTTATCTTAATTAGGATATTAATAATGAACTAGCCGATAATGTAGCTTTTGGAATAGTCCACCAATTTTTTAAAATTAAACAGTATCTAAAGATTTGCATCGAAGCGTTCTTTTTTGATAGTGATTTTAATCACTGTCAGATATCATTATACTTGATCCATCTATACCACGTCACCACTCTGCCGCGACCCCCCCGTGCTGGGTTTTTTTTTTCTTGAGTATAAAAAAAATTCTATAAATATATACTAAAAATTAAAGCCTTTGACGTTTATTGAAGTTTTTAAGTGGAATGAAATTAAAATTGTTTGTATATATTTTACATTATTTATATTATAAATAAACGGCCTTAAGAAATTAAGCTTTTAAATTAATTTATACTACACAGATGAAATATTAAGACCTTATTTATTTTTAATAAGTCTAGAAATTTATAGCTTTTTCTTATTAGTTATTAATCACATATCTTGTCAAGCAAAAATCCAATTTATTCGTCAAATATATTAAAGAGTATTTAAGAGAGGACATTAAATACAAAAAATGATTAATATAAAACAAAGAATACTATATAACTTTTGGTGATAGCCAATTAGGGGTGCAGTAATATAGGCTGTGTTTGAATTCCCCTATGAGATATTTTGAAGTGAGTTAATACATGAGCTTATAAGAGGAAGTATAGGTGTAGTGTCAATTGTGGATAAGATGAGAGAAAATAGACTTAGACGGTTTCATCATGTTATGAGGAGAGAAGAATCAGAAGCTGTAAGAACAGTTATAGAAATGAATGTTGAAGTAAGAAAAGGTAGAGGAAGACCAAAAATGAGATGGAGTTATGTTATTGAATGCGATATGAGGACAGCTGATGTATGCGAAGATGATGTGGGAGATCGTGTCAAGTGGAAGTTTAGGATAAAAGTTGGGATTAAGGCGAGAAAAAAGAAGAAGAAGACATAGTATGTATTAGTATATACATTGAAAAAATTATATGATTAATTTAACACAGAAAATTAGAAAAAAATTCTTCATTAATATAAGATATTTTAGTATAATTAAATATATTTTTATAGTATAGGGAAAATTTTTGTTTACATAAATTTGAATTAAAAATCATATAAAAATAATTTTCTGAATCATTTATGGGAGTATATTTCATATTATATAATTATTGTAAAGTAAAAACTGTCATAGTTGTCACCAATATAAATTGAATTTAGACAGTGATTAAAATGACTATTATATAACGCTTCAATGCAATTATTTATTATTAAGACTAGAAAAAAGTTTAAAATTTTAACTTTGGCCACCAATTACTTGAAGTAGCAAAGTTGTCAGGGTATTTTTTAATCTTAATGTACATTTTAAGAACATTAATTTGGTTTAGGATTAAAGAAACAGATATTCAAGAATATTATCAAAATTTGAATTAAAAATAAAATTTTGTACATGTATGTTGCTGTTTTAACAACAGTACTTGAACTTGTGAGTTTTTTATAAGTTTTTCTAAAATGCATTTAAAAAAAATAATTTTCTATAATATTATGATAAAAATTTCATTGAAATTTCTTATGTAATTTATATCACAATATGATATATAACTAACCAATTATTATGAGAGCATTACTAAAATAATATAAAATACTAGAGCATTTTGTTACACATAAAAATAAGTAAAAATATTCATTGTGAAAAAAAATATCACAATGAGAGTTTTAGGAAATTTACTCAACTGAACGTTTGAAAAACTCTAATTTAAGGAATATTGTGTTTTAATAGTAACGTTTTTATTTTTTTATACAAATGTTACCCATTATTATAAGAATTTACATTCTATTACATTATTTTGGCATATTTTTCTAATTTTTTAAAGAATATTAATTTGTATTTTAAATAAAATTAGAATTATATTTTTTAAGACCAAGTAAATTCTGACTTTAATAATAAAAACCACAGTAAAAATGTATACAAACCTCTATCTGGTAATACTTGTGATAATATATAATTATCTGGATCATCATCAATACAAAATTTTAACATAGCATTTCTAATAACTTGAGGTGTACGTTCATTATTACTAAGCATTATACTTTTATACAGCACAACTCCTGAATGTAATTAAAATAGATACATTTTAAAATAGAATAAAAATCTGTTCAAGTTATTTTTAAAAAAACTCTTTAATTTTAGATTTTATTTGCAAATTTATTATACTAAAAGCAAATAATTTAAAAATATATGCAACATCTTTATACAGGGTGTTCAGTAAGTCAGGAAACGGGTTTCTATTGTTCTCATTGTTTGTAACAATGAGAACAATAGAAACCCGTTTCCTGATTTACTGAACACCCTGTATATAATTGTATTTAGGATCTTTTTTTGTTTTTCTAGCAAGAGAAAAATAGAAAAAGACTTTAAATTCATCCTCACAACTACACAAGGTATTAAAAAAAACGAAACATTTGAAAAAATAATAACTAATTGATATAATTTAATCTGACATGAAAATAATAATGTAATTAGTTTAAATTGAATGCTACCAAATGTAGTATGCTTTTGATATTTTAACCAAAGCACGACAATGTAATACCTTACTAAAACCTAACTAATTGAATAATGTTATTTCAAAGATCTTTCAAATATTAATTTTTATTAAAATTAGTTTTTAAAACTTTAAGATCAAAAATTAAATATTAATACAATTCTACAAAATTTGAAAATTGATCATCTTTAGCATAATATTGCTCAATCACAGACAAAATGATAATCTTAATTAATAAAGAACATAAGACTTTTGAACATTTCAATGTCAACTGACATATTAATTATAATATTATATTTAATCACATAATTTAATAATATCAAAAATGATGTATATATACAAGTGGGTACCATTGGTGTTTAGATAGCACCACATCCAGGGTCTGGAGGCAGATAATGGTATCATTTAGTATTTTAAGGAAAAATTAAATTAAGTCGTGAGTCGGCTAAGACGTGTTTTTGTGTTCATTTTAATTCATATGTGTATTTTGATTGATGAAAGTTTATAAAATATGAGCCATACTAATATATATATATATATACATCAGACTAATGTAATATATTAAATTATATTAGTCTGATAAATCTTAGTAATAATTATTATAAAATTTACCATCAGTTGCTACATTTTCAGCATCAACTGTAATTCTAATTATATAAAAATCGGATGTTGTATTAAAAGTTGAATTATTAATACTATTTTTAACTGAATGAATTATATTGTTGCTTCCAGAAATTGACATATCAAATGAATGTAAAGAATAACTACTTGATGACGAAGATAAATCAAGCAAGGAATTCTATAAAAAGAATATAAAAGTAAAACTCTTTAATTTTTTTAAACTTTGAATTATTACCTGTTTGTCTAAAGAATTATTTGGCGAATGCAGACCATCATCTGACAACCCATAGAAACTTTTATTACTACAATTACTTGATATGGAATCATTTTTTTTAAAGTCATAACTAAACAAAATTAAAAAGAAAAGTGATTACTAAATATATTTATCAATTTATTTTTTTCAATTAAAGTAATGTTTTTTTATTGTAAAAAAATATATTTATATATATTTAATGCTATTTACATTATGTAAACTAAACATATTAATAGTATTTAAAATTTTAATATACTTCTGTTTTTTTAGAGTCCCCATTATAGAATTAGCACAAGATGATGGTAAATTATCAGGAGCTTCTATCTGACAAGATATTCTAAATGCTTCTCTATCATCCAAAACCAAAATTGAATAGAACCATTGATCAAACACAGTGTCTTCAGGAATATTATATGAATTTGCAGCACCTTGAAGTAACTTTATCTATTAATAAGAAATAAAACATATTATTCAAATTCTAAAATTAAAAATTAATTTTTTTTTTAATTTAACTTTTAAAACCATATAAAAATAACCTATAGTACAACTAAAAGCCATCCACAATTTTAATCATGGATTGTTTATTGAAATTCTATTAGTTCAACAATAATCTATAACTCATTTATTTCTAATAATAGTATTCATAATAAAAATCAAGTATTTTATGCTACTTATGTCTCTATGTAAGTAGGAAAAGTTTTTTTTTCCCAGTAAAGTTTTATCTTCAAGACTTATAGAGATTCTCAAATAACCAATTTACTTACTAATCTCTAGTACTGATTTTATTTTAAAATTTTTATTTAAAGATGATACAGTACTACTTAACAAGCCCGAAATACCTGTCAATAGTATTCCAAGGAATCTACTTAGAATAGTTAGCTCTGGTACCTTGAATACTGAGGGTCTCTAATTTGTTTATATCCCACTGGAGAAACATACTAGAGTCAAGCTAATTAAAATGTGACGTAATTGAGTAACAGCAAATAACAATGTATATTGATAACAAATGTAATACAAAATAATCATTTAATGATAAGACTCATTATCTCAGAAAATTTTGAATATTTTAAATTTTAGTAAAGAAAAATATTTTTCTATCATAATATTAAACTAAAAATAGGAATTTCCAATGAGGAAAATTAAAGTTTAAAATTGTAGAATTTTTGCAAAAATTTAATATTTCAATAGTTTCTAAGAAATGAGTGTCTTATCCGTAATAGATCACCCTAAATAGTAATACATGACCTATATTTACATAGATGTTGCGAGTAGTTAAAAAGGAAGCCGATAACATGCTTAATAATCATCTTAAAACAATTAATAATAAAAAAATTAACAAATATGATAATAAATGATAACTATTTTGTTGACTAGATGTTATGCACATAGATGATACATGTTGACTGATCATCGTGCTACATTTTCTCCTTAAACTTATTATAATTATATATTTGTTTACACAGTCAGCAAGTCCCTGTATATGTAAATAATATAATTATATGTGCTGATATTTTTACTAGGCAAAACATGATGCAAACACAAATTTTGATTATATTAAAGACTAAAGTGGTAAGTAATAAGTTCCTAAAATATAGTTTATATCTCAAACAAATGTTAATTTTTAATATTGTACTTTCTTACCATCTACTGTAAAATAAAATCTACAAGCACCCTAAAATTACAGCTTACTTTATACTGGTAATACCATTTCTTTAAAAAAAATAATTTTAACCGATAATAGCTTCTTTTTTTGCAAGATCTTTTTGATTTTGCATTTATATGAATTAATAAAAATGTAATTAAATACGTATATCAATTATATTGTGATATATATTATAATTACTTGAGCTAATACTTCAAACTCTTTTCTTTTTTTATCAAAATTAATAAGACCATCAGGTAAAACATCTGGAGTTGCCGCATCAATCATAGTCAAATCAGTTAAAAATGTTCCCAAGTAAGGAATTGTGCCAATGTTTAATTTCTAATTAAAAAATAAAGTTTCTAATTATATTTTTTCAAAAACATATAATTAAAAAAAAAATCTACAGTTATTTGTTGTTTTTTAATTATTTTTTGCAAATGTCTATCATTGTTGTTAAAAGTATCAGCAAATTTTGCAGTGCCTTCACGTATCAATAATTTTCGTTGAGCCCACTGATTATTTTCTTCACTAAATATTCGTGCTAATTCTTGAAAAAGTTCCACCTATAATACAATTTTTAATCTTAAATCAAAAATTAATTTTGTTAATTCATTGAGTTGTTTTTATAAATATTTCCCATATTTGTAATAGAAAAATAAGTAAATAGTAATAGTATGTTTTCAAAATAAAATAACATAAAATTTTAGGTTAAAATGTTATATTATAAAATATATAAAACACATTTAGAATACATTCCCCATTTACAGGGAACGAGGGAAATTTTTAAATTTTTTGAGGGTAAAGTCTTTGACTAGATACGATTTATGATCTTTTGACGTATCGTTGAAAAAAATCAGTCCAGTGAGAGCTGAGAAAATGTGGTAACAGACACAAAAAAAAAACACATTATAGTAAAATTAATACCTTCTCATCTTTGTATTGAAGCTAAAAGTTTATTGCGGTCTTTTGGAGACTACATAAATTTCTAACTACAAAAAGGGGATAAGTTTTATTTTTTTTTAACGGTCGGCATTACTGTGGGCTACCCTGAGAACTGCCGTTAAACATTACTTTAGGACAGCCCACGCCGTCTATATAATTGACGCCACCACATTATGAATTAGCCCGAAATTAATCAAGAGTTGATTCGCAACGTGGTATGACACCTCCTGTTAACCGGATCCCAGAGTGGGAACCGTTAGGGAGGGTTGGCAAAATAATTCACAAACAAAAACAAGAACATGAGGCACCGGCCTAAACCAGTGCCTCAGATCCTCCTGTGCGGCGTGACAGCCTCTATTTCAAGCGTTCTGCTTCCTCCTTCTTTTTCAAGACGAATTCAGCGAACACCTGGACAAGCAACCACGCTTTCCGGTTAACCAACTTCAGGTCCACCATGGACCCGACTCAGAACGTGGATCCTAGTTGGGACTCCAAAGAGTCCCGCTCCTGAGCCCACGCCTCGCACTGGAAGAAGGTGTGCAGAGCACTATCAGCCTCTCCCGGGCGATCCAAACAGTGGTCGCATGTCGGCACGGCTTCTTTACGAATATGGTGCAAGTACTCATTAAAGCAGCCGTGGCCGTGCGGTGGTAGCGGAACGTGGAACACCGCGTCGTACGCGATGTTCCACAGCAGAGGCCCGAGAACTGACCCTTGAGGGACGCCGTCCGTAACGAGTTTGATTTTCGGTCATGCGGCGCTCTCGTAGAAGATGACCCGATCGCTAAAGTAAGACCGGATCATCTGTCCGAGGTAAGGGGGCACCCGAAACGCGTCCAGCGCTCCGAGAGTATGTGTGACCATTGCATGGAGTTAAAAGCGTTTTGGATGTCGAGGCTCACCGTTACCCTGAAGCCCTGCTCAGTTTTGGCCCTGAAGCCCATGGGGATAAGTCTATTCTAATCAAATTTTTTTTTATCACTTTATATTAAATAGTAATAGATAGTTTAGTCAAAAAAGTATTTTAATTTGACAGTCCAAATGTCAAAAATAAGATTTTAATATCACATTCTACTGTAGAAATAGGAAATACCGTATTACTGAATATTTCCCCTTTAGACGGTTAATTGATATTAGGGTATGTAATAGGAATTATTAGCTTAATTTTATTAAGTTTAAAGATCACAAAACTGTTATACTTGGTATAAAATTTTAATTTTTTATATTTTCTACTTTTATATTAACATAAAAATCACAATAGGATGTTTCTTATAAAAAGTTAATATGTCCATGAATAAAATTTATTAATTAAGATGTTTCAACATTTTTTCTTCTCAATTAAATGAAAAATGTTTAAGTCACAAATTTTGAAACATTTATTATATTTTAAAATATAATATTCAGTTTTTAGTATTTCATGAATAATCAGTTGTCCCTTTTCTACAGTAAGAAATTCATATGGGTATTGACTTAATGAACTAATATAAAATGTATACACAATTCAAACTTACTTTATCGCGAGGTACTGATTGCCAAGTCTTTTGAAGTCTAAACACAGAGTTAGATTGTAATCCAGAAATTATTGCTTTTAGTGAAGAGAAATTCTTTAGAACCCTTAATTCCTGCAATTTTTTGGGTAAAGGATTAAAAAAAAAAATTACTCAAGTAAAATTATAGCAATCTAAAAATAGAAATCTAATAAAACTATGAGAACATTAAATTTTAACTAAAAAATAATTAGTTTTATATCGCTTTATTTCACAAACTTAACATACTACAGAGGATAGTGGCACTCTTTCACATGCTAGGGACACAAAGATGGTTCGATATTCCAATAATGAACGGGACAGGTATTATGGCCGGCTTGCATCAGAGATCAAACACCACTAATAAGAAAATCACAAGAAAAATCTCATTAACACCCTAGAGATCAAACCCATACAGTTCTATCCACTAGACCAGACCAACCCCCAAGAACATTAAATTCCAACTTTCAAAAAATATTTAAAATAATTGACTAGCCTTAACAAACTTTTCAGAATAAATTCAAAATATTACTTTAGTTATGTTTCATATATCAATCAGTAAATTATGGACTTTCCCAACTCAGATTAAATTTAATCAAATTAAGACATTATTATATAATATGACTTTGTTAGGACTATAAGAACATACCTTGATGTGTTAAAATAATAGTTTAATTTGTAAATATTGTTTAAAATAAAATCTGTATTCAACTAAAAAATACAACAATATATAGAAATACAGTAATTACTTGTGCAATGTCAATCCAAGTTTCAATTACATGTGCTCTGTCAGAGTATAAAGCCAATAAAACAGTACTTATAACCCTAAGTGAAACCGCATTAAATTGATCAATTGTAGCCAAAACTGTTGGTGCAGATCCCGCTCTTTTATTTTTAGACCACACAGCACCCAAACATTGATGTGCAACCATTTTTTTCAACACATCCTAGTTCATTGAAAATAATTCAATTCATCAATGCATCACTTAAATTTATAATTTATAAATTTATTTATTTATATAATTTTTTTAAATTTAAATATTTCAAACATAAACTATTGGTTAATAACCTTATCCATTCGAGTCAATTGTTCAGCAAAATGTTTCTCAGCGACATCAGGAAAATTGTAAAGAAGTTGTCGTGATTCCCCAATAACCAAATCATAATCATTACTTAAGAACATAGATGTTTCTTCTATAAAAGTATATATCAAAAAAAATTATTAATATATACAGGGTGATTCACTTATCATGAATCACCAACTTAATTGATCGAAGAATAAAAATAATATTAATATTTTTATTTGATTCTTTTATTTCAATGTGTCTCAATTCAATTTCAATTTTTCAATCATAAAGTTTTTTTATGTTCATCCCTTATACCATATAAGGAAGTCAACTTTCATTTTTCAAAAGGCAAAATTCCTAATTAACTAGCTTATTTAATAAATAATGATCTAATTAAGAAAATGACTGGTTGATAATAACTTTTAGACCAGTATTTATTACTAGTCATTAACAATTTAAAATAATGACTAAAGGTAAAGATTAGGCGCTGCTATTTTCATAACTAAACATTTCCTGATCATACTCTATACACAATTACCTAGATATAAATATGTCAATAACTTCCAAAATACTGATCCAAAAGTTGTTATTAAACAATCATTTTCTTATTTAGATCATTACCTAATAAATAAGCTAGTAAATTAGGGGTCTTTTTACTTGAGAAATTAATGTTTACACCCTTATAAGATATAAGGGATAAACATAAAAAAACTTTGTGATTGAAAAATTGAGAGAAATATTGAACTTAAAAAATTATTAATAATATTTTTATTTTTCAATTAATTAAGTGGTCCGTGATAAGTGAATCACCAATATACATAAATATATATATATATATATATATATGATTTTTTTAATTATAACCCACTCAATTACTTACAGAATAAAAATAATTAAACATTATTTTTTTTTTATTATTATTATTACCTTTAGTCACATATTATTCTTAAATTATTAGCTATATAATACTTTTTAAGTTCATACCTTAGGCCTTATAAGGATGTCAACTTAGTTTTTTCAAATGGAAACATATTATGAATTTAATAAAATTCAAATGCATTTGAATTTTTAACATAACTTTATTAGTTTATTTAAGTATAAAATTTTTAAGATATAAAACTGTATATAGGTGGTCCATAATGTTTTGACAAATCTAATAATTTTTGATCAATTAAATATTTTGTTACTATATTTTTTTAATAATTTATGCATTGTTAGGCTACCATAAAATCATATTTTTACTATTTGATTTTTAATATAAATATTAAAAATATGATTTTATGGTAATCTAAGGATGTATAAATTATTTATTAAATAGTACTGCAAAATACTTAGTAGATTAAAAGTTATTAGATTTGTCCAAACATTGTGGACCACCCTATATATATTAGTTAGTAAATGTAAGGAAATTTATAATTTATACACACCAAGTTGCTTGCATTCTTTAAGATATCTATCTAATCTATAAGTTGCTTTAATATGCAGTTCAGTTTTTGGTAAATATAAGAATGTAAATGAACGTAAGCATCGCAAACAAGTATGTAAAGGAGGATCCCGAAAATCCTCTGGATATGAATCTAACCATACATGCAATGCTGATACTACTGTCCTAAAAATGAATTCAAAAAATATATACCAGTATATTACTATATCATCTAAGTAAAACTTTCAATTTATTCATGTTAGAAATTAAAATATAAATGAATTATGTTAATTAAAATTACATTACTTACTTTTTATGAGGATCAATCATAGATTCAGATAAATTTTCTTTATTATTTATCAAGCATTCATACCTAAACATATGTATTTATATCTTTTTAAAAGATAAAAAATAGCTATAATATAAAACTAATTATTATAAGTTATTATTACACTTATTAATATACTCGACAAAATTTAGTATTTTTACAATTCTTAAATTGAAAATAAATAAATTTTCGACAATTAATAAAACTCTACAATATATAAAGCCTAAACATGACTGTACTTTAAGTTAATTTTATATCTAATATTTTTTCAATACTGCTTATTTTTAATTTTTTTACCTACTAACTTTTTAAAACTAATTTTAAAATACCTATTATTTGAAATAATCCCTTCGATTAGCAATTATAACTTAATTTGCAATATTTAATACTTTCATTTAAACACTTGTAAAAAAATAAATAAATAGGTTTAATAAAAAAAAAGAATGTTTATCAAATTTAAATATAAGTAATGAAATGTTAAAAAAAATTATTATTGTAGATAATTTAATAAATAACCTTTCAATTAATAAGGATAAAACATGATGAGGCGATGAAAAGGTTCTATAAGTGGCTAGAAATATATTCATAAAAGTTGATTCTAATTCGCCATCATCTGATGCTAAACTATTAACAAGTTTTTCAATTGTTCCTGCTTTAATAAATTTTACTCTCACAGTTTCCCATTCTAAATGAGACCGTTCATCATCTGACTCCTAAAAAAAGAATAGTTAACTATTAAATAAAACAAGTAGCAATTAAAAATATATATCTTTTCATTTAATATCTTATTGTAGTTTACCAATAGCAATGTTTTTGTAGGATTTTGATAACGAACTTTTTTTAAGTAAATTGTATACACAGCACCTTCTTCTCTTTCTTCACCCCATAATTTCCATGTTGGCTATAATAATAACACCCCTATATATTTATTTAGCCATTTTATATTTTTTTATTCACCAATTATAAATACAGCATTAATAGATTGTAGAGTAAGTAAACTAGAAGAAAAATATTTTTTGTCTGGTAAAAAAATATAAATAAATTATAAAATTAAAAATTTGTTAAGTTTCATATGGTAAATACATAACAGATATGTTTAATATCTGTCATTCATATAGTAATTACAACTTTTTAAGAGAAAAGTTTTGAAGTTAATATAGTGTAAATCTGTGATAGTTTTATTATTATTTATTTATTATAATAAAATTAAATATAGTCAAATAGCATATTTTAAAATTTTCAAACTTAAAGAAAAATGAACAATAAAACAAAGGTTACAAATTTGATTACCACAAATTATCAAGTATTTTACCTAAAATTTAAACATTAAACTATTTATTATATTTAATAGGTTATATAGTGATATGAATAATCAATTTTTTATCAAACTTTTTATGAACACTCTAAAGGTAAAACTTTTAATTTTCAAAAAATATCTGTTCTGTCTCTCTCTTTTATTCCTTAAAACTGTATCAACTTAAACTTTTTAAATGAAAAAATATATAGTTAACCTGCTTACAATTAAGAATATTGTTATTAAGTCTTCAATAAAGATTAGAGGCGAAACGCAGGTCTATTTATTTTTATTTAATTGTATTATAGGGGCGTGGTGCGGCGCGGTGGTCACACTAGTTGTTGACAAAACTCTAGTGTTAAGCTGCGTCTACCGCCGTAGGTGAACGGATGGGTGAACATGCGTGCGCTTCTACGGTGGCGAAAAAGCACCATGTTCCCAGTGCAGAAGGCAACAGGAAACCACTGCACTTAAATTTCCCCAGGACATACCAATCCAATTGGTATTAACCAACCAAATGGTTGTAAAAAAAAAAAAAAAATTGTATTTTATGAACAACTCCTCCCATTTTGATATAAAAATGCTAACATCTTTAAAAATATTGGTTCAAAATTTTTATGTACCCTTTATTTTTTTTCCTAAAGGCTAAGCTTTGTCATAGTCAACCAAATATAGTTGAACGGTGCTTCTTCTGAAAAAAAGTTTTACGTACAGTGGTTTCCCATTGTTTTCTGTACTAGAGACAATGTGTTATATGCCACTGTAAACACACCTGTATGGTCATCTATCCATGTGCCTACAGTAGTAGATGAGGCCAAACACTAGAGTTTATCAGCAGCTAGTATGTCTATTGCGCAATAACACGGCCTTTCTTATTTGTAGGCTAGTTGAATATAGATATATTTAATTAAAAACTTGAGTTAAAACAATTTTAAGGCAAAGGACAAAATTTATTTGTTTTAATTATAGAATTTAGGATTCTATTAACATTTGAAAACCCACACTTCTATAGGAAAACCGAATTAAGACAATTCGCTGAGGTGCACACAATAGACCAACAGGTCTTAGTGCATAGGCATTATGTTCACCTCGATAATAACTAAAACTAAAAAAAAAACTAACATTTGAAAACAAAAATTTATAATATGTTTTATAATTTCCCCTGTACATAAATTAAAAATTATACTAAAAATCTAAGGACCTAATTTAATTCATTTTACTTGTAGCTAAGAGGATAAGAGTTGAAATAGAGTTAAAATTAAGGATCAAACCCCTAACTTATCTTTTCCTAACTAATGATTTTTTTTTTTTAAAGAAGAAAATAAAGAGAAATAAAATATATCAAATAAAATTTTCAAAATGTAATAATGTTCTTCTCTCTAACATAAAAATTATCAATCTTTTTAACAATAACTCCACTATATCTTCTTTTTAATATATGATTTGAAGTTTAAAATAAATAAATTTAAATCCATTATAAAATTGGAGCTTTTAACATGCCAAATCATCAATGACCCATATGAATAAATTATGAATGGCCTACTTGGAAATCAGTCAATAATTTTATTTAAAATGTCCCAAATATTTACTTAACATATAAATGATTTTATATATATATAAATACAAATAAAGGTGTATTAATGAAATAAACATAAAGATGATCCATTAAATACTCACGGAGCTTTCGGCATCAACATTCATACTTGTTCACCTACATCATAATTGAGGATTACCCAAATTAATGTAAGAGTTACTATTTATTTGAGTAATAAGGACAAAATAGGATAACATAATAATCCAAAAATCGAAACAACTACAGATCTGGCCTTAATTGTTATTGAAGTTAAACCATTTTACAGTTGCACAGCTCTCAAACAACCGTGCTGCTGTTTTTTGTTAACTGTTATCAGTTATGATTATGAGTTGTCATTGGAGGCGCGCAAGGAAATTATGGTTAAGTATACCAGTTTGGCACATAGCGATTCTTAATTCTCTTGGGAGTCAACAGTCACTTATTACCAAGATAGTTATATCTTCTTTGGCTATAACAATGTTAATTAAAAACTACAGAAGCTCCTTCAGCATATCCAATACATAATTTCTTTCAGCATTTAACGTTTTCAGAAAATACTATTTAATAGGACGTAATGATTACTGTGCATAATGCATTATATATACTTACATTAGAGAATATTTTTACATGATATTCCCACAATAATAATAAGCATGTTTAACAATAAATGTTTATATACCTAATTAATGTATATGATGAGAAAGTCTACCACCACTTAAACCTAATTGTAGTTTCAAGTTCTCTGGGAAGATATCTTCTTCAATACTTTTTTTTTTCTATGGAAATTTAAATACCATATGTATTTTAAATTTACTAAAACAGATTGCATTCATAAAAATAGAATTTATTTACAGAGAAGATCATAAAGTTAATGGAAGAGAACCTAAAAAACATTAAAAATACTTAAATTTCTATACAATGTGGAGAGGTCAGAAAAAATGTTTTGATATAAAATCTCCAATAAAAAGTTCTAATGAAATATAATTTAGTAATATGATAATTAGGATATAAGATTTTTTTATGGTTTTTTCATAACAAGCGCAATTCGGATAATCCTTCAGAATATCTAGTGTAACAAAATAAATAAATCAGGCCCAAAATTATACGAAACTTCAGGCCTCTACTAAAGTGAGTGCCCCACACGTATGATACGTGCTGATCAACATGTTATTTTTAGCTTCGATACGAAGCTGAGAAGGTATTAATTTTACTATAATAACTATAATAAAATAATACTATGATGGGGTTTTTTTTTTTTTTTTTTTTTGT